ACGTTGTACATTGGGACCCTCATTAAATAAAATAAGACTTTAGGGTAACTGAAAACCATGGATAACAGGGGATGGTTGAATTTACTTTTGATAAATCTTACAATAGATACAGAGCAATAGTTTTTTAAGCCTAGCTGAATTAAAAAAAAAAAATGGAGTAATTTTAATTCTACAAAGAGAATAAATAATTTTTCTATTTTATGTTGCAATTTCTGGCATCATTGAACTGTTATTGGATTTGAAACTTGTAGAATATATAAAATCATTAAAATTACCAAACACAAAAATGCTTGCAGAGGAATGTATATATAGAGAGATAGAGTGCCATTTTTTATACAGTCCTGAGAAGAAGGAGAGCAATAAAAAAAAAAAAATAACAACTAACAGACTGCAATGAAGAAAGTTGAAAGCCCATGAAAGAATCCTCCAGGCACTCAAGAAACAAGTCTCTTGTCACTGGAAGATTTTCCCTAATGTAAACACCAAAGCTATGCATATATATCCTAGAATCTTTTCAACAGAAAAGAAAATAGCCTGGAACAGAATTCATTGGTAACTATAGAAGAATTTAATTAGTCTCGCAATGTGCTAAGGTATCTGAACAACATTTCAAAAGAAAAGATTTTACACTACAGAATTTGATAATGGATACCAAGAATATTGGAAAAAGAAAGGATTGATTGGTTGATTTTTTTGTTTACTTGTATTTCTTTTCAATATAACTCATAAGATTATGTTTTACAAAGAAAAAAGGTCAAAATAATTATCACTGTCCATTGTCTTTGGTAATACAGAATGAAGGTGGCTAAGACTAAAGCATAATGTGGCCTCAGGATTGCCCACTGAAAGTAAATGCAGGGACACTTGTCCATGTGCAACATGGAACTGCAAATAATAAATAATGTGATATTTTCTCTTACTCTTCTCACCTGTGGAACTCTTTTCTGACGTCATGCTTTCCAGTCAACTTTGATCTTCAAAATTTAAATGCAATGTCAATCTTTGTTTTCCATCTTAATTTTTGTTTTTATTGTTCTCTCTCCTTAATAGTATTTTTCTTTTTCTCCTATTCTCCTTGGGGGTGAAATTATATATATATGATAATTGCAAATGTCAGTGTGTCACACTTTTTCAACTTTATTCCTAGAAGCCATAGCCCAACATATACCATTTTGGAATCAGGGCAACTCTGTGAGCAAATTAAGACATTTCAAGCTGGATCTGGACCAGCAATCCTGAAATTTTGTATTCCCAAATTTTCATAACTGGGGTTGTTTTCAGCAATTTTTTTTTTTTTTTTTTTTTTTTTGTACAAAAACAATTTTTATAACTTGGAAATAAATTTGGAAATAATCAAAATTAATTGCAAAATCCAGCAAAATTCCCCCAAGAAATAAAACTAATTGTTTGTACAGAAAGTAAAGATCTACATACTTCAAATTGTCTTTAAATTAAGAGTTGTCAGAAGAATTATTGTTGAACTTTTAAAAGGTAAGCTTAAATATTAATGCAGTACTTAAATGCAGTGGTCAATTTTGATTTCTTCTGTAGTTTATTGTTTATTGATGTAGGCCCAATCAAGAGCCCTCTGCAGGAGTTAGCTTAAATGCTGCCTTAAGTTAGTGTGTGTGTGTGTGTGTGTGTGTGTGTGTGTATATATATATATATATATAAAATCTCATTTGGTACACTCCCCCATTTAACCAAATGGTTAGTACTAAGTTAGGACAGAAGTTTCTGCATTTAACAGAGAAACACTTCTCCAGAAATTATCCACTCTGTAAGATTTTTAACAGAAATACACTAAAACTTAGCTATGGCTGTACTGATAACCTTGAAAAAATTATTAAAAAATATAATAATAAAATTTTAAATCAATACAAAAACCTGAATAATAATAGCCATTCCAAAGCAACAAATGCAGATAATACCAACAAGTGTAATTGTAGAAATTCTAACAAATGTCCATTGCAAAACCGATGTCAAACACTCTCTTGTTTACTCATTTCTACAAGAGAAAATCAAACAGTTAAAAATATTATATTGGGAGTATCAAAAATTCCTTTAAAACTAGGTGGTACCATCATATATTATCTTTCACCAATTATGTGTACAGAAATAGGATGTCCCTTTCTAAATATTTTTGGAACTTAAAAGAAGTTAATAAAACCTTTACAGTAAAATGGAAAAAACTAAAAAAACTAGAACTTGTAAATCTTTAAATGAACCTTACTTCTTATGTTTACATGAAAAACTTGAAATTATCATGTTTGCTGATAAAAAAATCCCTGTTAAACCAAAGGACTGAATTAACTGTAAATTGCCAACACAGTTCATCTTTTACCTTAAAATGTAGTTAAATTTTGAAAAACTACATATTACCATTTCTTATATCCATAATTTATTAGTGAATAATGGTCCACCCTCTACAAGTAATTATCTTTAATTTTAATTTTGCTGTGTATTGCCATCCAGTTAGTATTATTAATATCTTATATAGATGTTCCACATTTTTTAATTTTATCTACAGCCACCCACCCTGTTGAAATTAACTTTTTTTTTCTTTTTTTTTTAGAGATATTTTATACATTTGTAGAAAGAAAACTACTTTCCCTTCATATGGCCTAATAATTATCACATGGTTTAAAGAATAGTAGATAATTTATCTTTTCGTCTCTGGCAAAAGGCAAGAAGAAAATTCCTTTGGCAGAATTCCTTCGCTGTATCCTTAAAGTTAATTTTGTAATCTATACTTTGCAGCGCATTTTTCTCTTTTTAATTCTTGGCCAAACACACCAGGCCAAATTGTTGCCATGGTGAAGAATGAAGGAACATCTTTTTATATATATATATATATATATATATATGCAGGGTGGCAATAAAGTCACTATACAGTTACTTAAAATACAAAAGCAAAGCATTGAAGCAGGTGGCTTGCAATTCAAACGTTATTGGTAATTAATTTACTATTGTTTACCATAGCATTTTATTGTTATTAAACAGAATTAACCAGAACTATTTTAAAAATAAATTTCTGGACTGTTGATTAATTGCTTTGTCTTCATTGTTGTTGTTGCAAGTAAGTGTATTGCCACCTTATATATATATATATATATATATATATAGCTACACAGGAAAGAGAATATTAACAGTTGTATGGTTGCAATGTTGAGGTTAGTAAAATAGTACACTAATAATTTATATACATTTGATAATTTAGCAGCAATGGACATTTGTGTTTCTTTGTTAAGTGCCAGTTTTAGGCATTAATTAAGTCAACTGGTTCACTTGTAAAAAATGGGACAAATTATTTTTGGGAAATAATTTTTGTCGATTAGCATTCCCAAGGTGGGCTAACTACCCTCTTGTGAGAAAGAAAATAGGCAGACAGTAGCAGTGGAACATCTGAACCATAACATAGACCCCACACACTGTAAAGTGAAAGCAAGATACACTTCAGTGTATCTTGCTTTCACTTTACAGTATACCTCATTTATATAACAATTATTATAGGGAATACTAAGAGACTCCTTCAACATTTATTTCAAGTACCAAGAAATTTCAATCAAAGGTTGGCTGTACATGTGCAGGGTTTTAGCATTATGTTTTGGTATGAAAGAAGGCAGCAACCCGAAAATGTTTGAGAACCACTACTTTAGTCCTTCCTTAAGCCATGACTCTTGTCAGAATTGAAAAATATTGATTGGTTATCATTTTCGAAGGGTGTCCTGTTCATAATGTCAATGCGGTATATAATTGACTGCTGACTTTTTGCAGAGTTATATGGACTTAGATTTTTGTTTACAAATGTCATGTTTGAACTTATGCTTATGCCAATGATATCTGTATACAAACTTTTTTTAAATTTTATTGAAAGACAATATATATATATATATATATATATATATATATATATATATATATATAAATTTTGTGTTTTGTTTTAAAATATTTGAACTGTCATTTTTTTTTTTTTTCCTCTCTCTCTCTCCTTCCTCTCCTCTCTTTTCTTTTTTCCTTTCTTTTTCACAAAAATTTTCTTTACAAAAAATCATTTTTCCTTCAAGAATACAATTACATATACATTTTTTTAGTACTACGGCACTTTTAATTAAAGAACAAAAAATTACATAAATTAAAAAATATGAAGATAATTCTGTAAAAGTCAGGGATCAATTTAACACTGTATCTATTATGAACAGGACCCACCTAAGTCAATGAAGAAAAATCCAATATTTTTTGATTCTGACAAATTTTGTAAGTTTTGTGAGAAAGTTCTAAAGAATATTAATCTACAAAAATGATTCTTTTTTTTTTTTTATGAGTGGACCACTCTATTTAAGTAGTGCCAATTTTCATTTGTAAAAATGTTTTTTTTAAACAACTTTGCTACAGTGTTCTAGCTGAGATTAAATATTTTGATTTTCAAGGCAGTCAAGTCTTTAGCCTGTTTGATTTAGTGGAATATAGTCTTTATACCTGTGCAGAAGAAAATGGAGACTCATTGGTCAAAATTCCCCATGTTGTTGCTGTTATTTAAAAAAAAAAAAAAAAGTCTCTCCATTGGACAAAGTTGGTATTAGTTTGGTAAACATGCAAATTTGTTTCACTTTTGGTTAATTGTAAGCATTGCAAGTTTAGAAAGTTCTCTTTTTTTTCTTTTTTTGTCATCCAGGAACTGTTATTTTCTTTTGTGTGGTTGTGAGTTGAGCCGACTTTACAGCTACTATTTATCCTTTTTTGATATCCTAGTCTTATTCTATTTGGCCTTGTGCCATGCTAAACCAAGCATCCCTGTGACAATTAGCAGATTTTCCTTGAAGCCTAAATAATTATTATAATGAATTTGATCTTCACTCTATGCTCTATTATTCTAGCCTTGTACCAGACATGTGCCTGTAGACTTAAATCCTTCCTTTTATTTATTCTCGTGTCAGACCTGATTGCATCATATCTGCATTATGAGATTTGTAATATTTAATCTTATGTTGTCATTTCAGGAAGCACATTTGCTACTTTACCAAGGACTACTCGAGGTAGACCCATTGTGGTTGGAGCTGACCCAAAAGCGAAGAATTTTCTTTATACAAATGGAAACAGTGTTATTATCAGGGATGTGTCTGTGAGTTTACTTTAATCCTTACCCACTCAGTGAATATTTTTCGGGAGGATGTACAACCTGAGGGTTGTTCTTAAATCTTCAATGACTAGTCAATTTTTGTATTAAAATGTATTTTCATTTATTTTCCACAATAAATATAATGGTTGAAACTTAAAAAAACAATATCATTTTAGGCAGAAAATATATAAAATTCATCTTTCTAAAGAAACTGCATAGAATATTTGTATAATATTTTCAAATAAGCCAATTTTATGGGAAAAATCCTTTTAGTTGTTCAGAAGGTGATAATAGTAAAAATGACCAGAATAATTTTATAATAATTACATATATACAGATGTTTATTTTTATTGCTTACAGAAATCTGCAGATGTTTACTCTCAATATTTTATTTCTTATATTAGCATATGTTTTTAAAATATATGTAAAAACAAAAAAAATTCTAATTGTTGAATTTAATGAAAAAGATTTATGGGTTAAAAAAACCCAATACCAAATAAGTAAAATGTTTAAAATAGCAAAGCACTCAGTATATGTAATCTAGCTTTGTACTTTTTATTTTACAATTGCTTCTTCAGTTTCAATTTTTTAAGGAAATGATATAGTCTATTATGGTCAGTGTAAGCTTTTGTAGGTTTTTTGTTTTTTATTACAACAGACCCTTTTTTCCTCTATGGCTTGGTTTCTCTTTACCAGTTGGCCTCCCATTGTCCATTTTAGATCTGGAGAGTTATTTAGTCAAAGTTGATTGAAATAGCAATCAAATCAAATAAATTCAGATAATAAAAAAAAAAGAACGATTTGTTGAATAGACAAAAAATGCTTATTTATAATAACAAAAATAATGTTTTTATTCTGTCAGTATTACAACTTTTGATGCTGTAATTTTCCTATAGCCTGTCAGTCAATGGTTTGTTGGAGTGTTAGCTGACTTAGTATGGGCAGGGAACAAAGGTGTTAAGCCTTTAATCTTCCTTGATTTGATTCTTCTGCTAGTGGAAATTCTCAAGTTGAAAAACATCTCTTCTTGGGTTGTTTTGATAAGCTCACTTTTGCACAGATTGTTGTGGAAGTGGGTTGGTGGTGTGTCTGTGGCTTGTGGCTGCTTCTCTTGTATCTCCCAGAATAACTACCTCAAAGGCTGAAATTGAATTAATTTTATATATATATAAAGCCTGTTTTTATGTTTATACCAAATAATACCCCTTGAGGTTTGGGATAACTAATTAATACTCCAGGAGGCCCAATAAATCACTTTCTGCACTCTTCCCAAATTTGGTTTCATCAATATACTCATCCTTCCAACATTGCTACTCTGCCTTTTTCAGTGTTTTAGGTCCCTCTCACTATCACAATCCAAGCAGGACCATGCTTTTGTATTGTCACATAATTAACCTTTGAGTTTAGCATCTTTTTATTCAGAATCATTGGAACATCTGATCTGACAACTTCTTCAACTTATATAAACATAATTTCATTTTATTTTATTTCTTTACCTAAAATGTAATTTCTTTTTATCTTCTTTCAAACCTTAGTCCAAAATAAACAACAATAATAATAACAATGAACAGATAATCTCAAAGCATTTCCAGGGTACTTGTAAAATCCAGTTTACCTTGATCAGCCTTTCACCTTAAATGCTAACCCCATTATGACTAGTTAACAAATGTAGATTTCATTTGCTTGTAAAATCCACACTAGTAGTAGTATCCCCCCATTTTTTAATTTTATTATGCATTGTTATACAAGGGTGGTGAAATTTTGGCAGTGTTTATTTTTTGTCTTTACTGATCAACTATTTTTTAAATGTTATTGTTAACAGAAAATGTCCTTCTGCTCATAATGAAAGGAAGCTTCATTTTTGGAAGAAGTCACTAAAATAGACAGAGTACATTGACTTGAGTTGAAACATTGTCATGTAATTTTTCTTTTCCAAATATGGAATTTGAGTAATCTATTTAAAGAAAATAAAAACCCAAAAAATGATTTCAAGCAAGTAAATGCTACAGAATGTCATTTAAACAAAAAAACAACATTGATATTTAACTTAAGGAATGAGAAAAATAAAATTTCAGATTTTAAATAATTTCTGTAAATCTTTTACTTACTTGAAGGCCCCCCCACCGCAGATCCAACTTTGTACATTTCTTTCTCAATGCTCTTCAGTTTCTCAGTCATTGTTATTTTTTTTATTTATTTATGTTTTTGAAACTTTAATTTTTTTTTTTTTTAAATTTGCACACACACACACACACACACACATATATATATATATATATATATATATATATATATATATATATATATATATATATATATATACACACGTTTCATTAAATAATATAGACGAGTGTTGTCTATTTATTTTATGTAAACTCTTTTTATAACATCTAATAAGTTTAATAACATTGATATTATTGAACGAAGAAAGAAATTAAAAATATTGATCCATATTTTTTTAATATAATCTAAGCTTTCGGCTTACATAAGCCATTATCAAAGATGTCAATTACAACATATTAAGCAATATATGGACAAGACAGTGATGACAGTCTGTGAATGTTTACATAGATGATCTCTAAGCAACGATAAACACGTGCATATAAAGACGCTAGAAGCGAAAATCACACCGCATCTCATGACGTCACACATGAGCACACGAGAGTGAATTGTAGAAGTATGAAATATGGAAAGCTGTTGGCACAAACCAATGGCCTCCGTCACCAACTACAGACATTTAAGGATATTTGTAGAGATGCCATAGTTGATTTTGTTTAGGTTGGGTTTCAACTGTTTTATGTATAATGCTTCAAGGATTTGTCTATTGTTTTCATGTCGAAATATAATTGTGTTTTCGACAAGTATTTTACGGAATTGTGTGTGCGGGCAGGCATGTTGTTTTAAATGCCTAAAAATGTTAGAGTTTTCATTCCAATGTAGTGTCAAGCATCATGAAAGCGAGTTTGTGGTGTGACCAACATAAACATTATTTAAATCGTTGGAGATACAATCTCCCAAAGGGCACTTGAATTTATAAACTATATATATATATATATATATATATATATATATATATATATATATAAGTTTCATTTCCAAACATGCCAATGATTGTTTTGTTAGCAAAAAAAGCAGGTTTAATATTGTAATTGCAACAAAATAAAAAATCTAAAGATTTATATTTAAACTTTTTATTAAAAGGTCATTTTAGAGATGACCCCTTTTTCAGGCAACTAATAATAAACCTTTAAAAAATTAATTTTAAAAGTACAATTTTTGTTAGAAAACATTTTCAACATTTTTAAAAAATTTATGATCTAATAAATTTGCTTTATTTATGCCTACGTCAAGATTTGTATTTTGTTTGATAAAGCTTTTCAGACTTAAATGTGTTTCCTGTTTGTTATGTTGAAATTAAATCCTTTTGATATTTACAGAAAAGTGTTTTTGTTTCAAATTTTGTGTTTGTGTGTTGCTCTAATGAACAAAAAATTTTTGTAAATGAACTTTTAAATTATTTGAAAAAAATTCTCACACAACTTGTGTGAGAAAAGAACACTTATTCATGAATGTCTTTGAAGGTTAGCTGTTTTTGTCTTTATTCTGATTGGTTATAAAGATTCTTGTTCTTGGATGAGACTTACACATGCTTATGCTGTTCTTTCTTTCTTACGTTTCCTTTTCTTTTTTTAAATATAAACCTGATCTATTTTCTCCTAACAAGTTGAGTGGTCAAAAAATTAGACCAGTTAATTGTGAGATTGCAAATACATTCTGTCATTCAGGAATTTATTGACCTCAAACCATAACTTTAAAGTAAATTTTATTTATTCTAATAAAGTCAACTTCCATGATGCTAGGCCAGAAAACTTTTATGCTTTTTCAAGACACCAGCTTATTTATAATAAACTTTGTAGATTATACCCTCCCACTTTATTTTATATTGAACACTGTTAATTTACTTTCTTCTTCTTCCAGTGAAGCTGAGCATTTATGTGTTTGGTAAAATTTAAATCGCAAAACTATCAACTTGTAAAATATCAAACTTATAACCTCCAATCATATTAAAAAGTAAATGAAATTTTAATTTTGTTTAAGTGCATATCATTCATCTGACTTTTTTTTTTCATTTTCCATGTAAAATTGCTTTATTTAATTGTGGATTTCAGATAACAGGAATTGTGCATTTAGCAAAATAAGAATCACAAGTTGATTCATTGGATACTTTGAGTTTCTTTTCAATCACTTGAGTTGATTGAAAAAAATCAAAGTGACATTGTCAGTTTGCCATTATCAATATTGATGTGTTTTTGTTACAAAGAATGGTAACTTGTAATTATCCAAATAAAACACCTTTTAGATTTATTGTTCCTTTTAATAATTTTGGGCAAATAATTGAATGCTCAACTCCCCAAACTGTTTTAATCCTCTTCACTATCTCCAGTGGAAAAGCTCCAATCCTTAATAGCAATATTAAAGTTAACACAATACATCTTGCTCATAGATAACTTACAGATGTGTCATTTTAGAGTAGATGTTGTTTAGCTTTTTACTCTTGGGATAAGGAAGGTTTTCCTTATTTGAAAATCTTTTGAGATTTTTTTTAATGTCCTGATGATTAAGAAATATTTCTTTAGCAAGTTAAGCATGGCGTAGAGTGCTTGGAGCACTCAGTGAGTGTATTAGGTTTATGGCCATATCATGTTGAAACACCAGTTCTCACTAGAGTTCAGCAACATCAGTCCTGGTCAGTACTTTGATGGGTAACTGCTTTGGAATACCAGGTGCTGTAAGTTTGGGTGGTGTCATGGATACTGGTTCAGAATTGTTAATCAGAAAACAGTGTTTCAATTCTCATTGGGTTTGTTATATTCATTTACACACACATACCCTTAGGAAAGGGGATGATACCATCTGTTAGGGTCCCAGCTATGGGCAAATAGTGACCCTCTCCAAACAAAACACTATAAAAGTATAAAAATACCAGAAATACATTTTATCTG